ACATGGACCAGGAAGCTGTTGTGGGAACAGAGTACTACATGGTTTGGAGTTGGTAAGGCAATGTGCCAGGGTTGTCGTCTCTCTCCATACCTATTCAATCTGTATGCTGAACAAGTTATCGAAGAGGCTGAACTCTATGAGGAGGAGGGCGGCATCTGGATCAGAGGGAAACTCATCAATAACCTGCATCATGAAAACGATACAACCTTGCTTGCTGAAAGTGAGGACTTGAAGCACTTGAAGAAGAAGATCAAGAGATACAGAAGATGAAAGAATGCAGCCTTTGGTATGGATTTCATGTTAATGTTAGGAAGACAAAGATTCTTACCCCTAGACTGATAGGCAGCATCATAAAGGAGGGAGGAGATTGAAAGCGTCAATAGCTTTATCTTGCTTGGATCCACAATTAACACGCGTGATCCCAGCAGTCAGGAAATAACAAGATGCATTGCGCTGGAAAAATCTGTAGTTATGGACCTCTCCAAATAATTAAGGAAAAACAATGTCACTTTGAGGACTAAGGTGCCTCTCATTCAGATCATAGTCTTTCCAATTACTTGCTATACATCTGAGAGCTGGACAATGAATAAAGAGGACGGAAAAAGAATTGATGCCATTGAGCTGTGGTGTTGGAGAAGAGCACTTAATATTCCATGGATGACCAAAAGAACAAGCAGATAGGTCTTTGAGAGGGTGCAGCTGGAGTGCTCTTTGAATACAAGAATGAAGAGGCTTCACCTTACATGCACTGAGCATGTTGCCAGGAGGTGCTTTTCCTTGGAGAAGGCTGGGAAAGGTGGACAGTTGGCAAAGGAGAGCAAGACCTCCCATCGGGTGGATTGACATGGTGACTGCTTCAGTGGGCTCTTGTGTATCAGGACGTGTGAGGGTGGTTCAGTATAGAGTTCAGATCTCTTGTTCATAGGGTCACTCAACTCTATGGCACGTAATAACAACAAAAACAACATTAATCAAAGTTATTCTCTCTGTTGTGCTTGGTTTTTCTCTGTTGTGCTTTTATGTTTGAGAATCTACTCATGCCATGTATTAGGGAGGGCTTCTATATTTGTTCTTATTTTTACTGTGATGACCTTTATAGTTTTCAGTTTTACCAGTAAATCTC